TGATGGCTTACTTGAGACATGCGAAGTTTCAGTGATAATGAGAATGGGTTGCGAAATAGTGCAAGTCTTGGAAGAGGGACAAATCCTACGTCAGATTGCTCTTGTGACAAAAAATTAGTTTTCATTAATCTAAGCAGAACTCATTACAATACTTGTTGCAATATTAGTAACACCAAAAGAAAAGAAAGTAGAGATAAGAACTGACAGTAAGGCAGCTATATTAGCAATTCAGAAAGGGCTTAAAACGCACAAAGTTAAACAGTGGATAAAAACCAAGAATAGTGGTCTTGTTGCAACAATAGCAGAAGTGATCAAAACCAAGCAGCTAGTGCTTGAACTAGTAAAGGTCAAGGGTCACTCAGGGACCTTTATAACGATCTAGCAGATATTAAAGCCAAAGAAGATGCAGGCAGTGCAGAACTTTTAATTCCCAACACACTGAGTACAAAAGAGTTCAAGCTAAAATATAGTTGAGAAGGCGAATTAATAGAAAAACCAATATGCTCTTTTATTAAAATGCTAGAAAAAGTGATTAATAGAGTGAAATGGGTATATACGCATAGTCGTCAAGATGCCTTGCATCAAGAAAGAAAAGTTGCACAACACTGGCCTGTATTCTACGAAATTTTGGAGAGTGGGAAAAAACAGCAAGATCATATTTTCAAGTCAAATACACAGCAGCTTTTCAAAATAAAATGTATAAATAATACATTACCAGTACTAGCAAAGCTCAATTAAAGAAGACCCAATCTATACAAGGTCCCAACATATATAGTATACAAGAAGAAAGATGAAAATATAGAATATTTGGTTAGCTGCGAGTTCTCAACAAATCTTTTAAGAGATATAAAAGAACAAGTAGTAGAAAGAGTTCTTGATAAAATAGTACCTAAAGATATAGAAGAAAAGAAAGAGTCAATACTTGTAGCTTTAGGAAAAGGTAGTATGCTCGAAAAGCTACAAAAAAGAGCTAGATGGATCAGAGATCTAATTACAAAAGAAGACTTTGATGATTTGCAGCAAAATTTTGACTCAAACAAACAGACTCTCAGTTTTATAGAAAAACTCTGAAAGAACTGGATGAAACAAGTTTATGAAAAGATATAAATCGCAAGGTGCAAACTAGTTCAAGAATGGGAAAGAAAAATTGAAATAACAAGAAGAGCGAAAAGAAGATCCAACCCAAGGTCCAAGGATAAAATAAACAGAAAAAGGAGAAGAAAAAAAGAAGAAAATGAAGATAGTAAGGGGAAGACAGAAAAATCTAAAAAAGAAATTGAAACACATTGGAGAGATATGCTAGATCTAGCCAAGAAAGCAGTTCTAGCTTAGATTAAGGAAAGCCAATATGCATCATGGTGGAAAATTAATTAGTAGTCTTGACAGGCCATAGAGACTATCCAATGAAGTATTAACAAGCTTATATCAAAGCAAGTTAGTACTGAGGTAAACTTCTACTATAGCAGGTCGCATATAGGTGTTCTAGAAACAACCGGGTGAGCCAATACTTGTAACTTAGATATTAAAAGGAATAGCCTTTTGTAAAAGTCGTAAAATTTTAAAAATTATAATAGCCTAATAAAGTAGTGGCAAGACTGCCAAATTGGGAAAAAAAAAATATATCATAAAATATATATATATATATATATATTTGGTATTAAGGTGACCTACATTGGCCTGGGAAACTTTTTATTAAAGTATAGACAGAGTTTTATATGTAATTATAATGATAGTACATCAAACTACACATGCACCTTTTGAGTACCTAATTTAAGTAGTCCATCTGAAGGTTCTACACTATTTGCTGTATTTGCACCCCAGCTAGGGGAGTACCTATTTAAACTATCTGGTTCTAACTACCTTCATCCACCCCCTAACCCGATAAGTTTACCTCACCATTCATACGCTGGATTTTGGATATCACCTAATCTAGATTTCGCTCTCTGCCTTAGGATTTACTAATCTATATAGACCTAGTCTATCTTTAAGGTAAATCTAACATAGTGGTATATGTTCTACATATGTATTCACATGCTTGTTCCTATAACTTCTTCCTGATTAGTACATATTGACCTGCCATTCTGTATTCATATCTCATGCCACCTTTTAGGGTGCTGCCGTTCTACAGACGTCTCTCAAGCACCAACCTTCCTAACTAGGCATCCATTATGTACTCCTTGCCTTTGTTTTGGTTTCTAGCAACCTCAATACTTCATATTTAAACCATCTTCTTATCTGAATTCTTTATTAATTTCTCCCTTACTTCCAGCTAGCAACCCAGAAAGGTTGGTCTGCCCAGGCTTTAGGTGCCTGAAGGACACCCTCCCCTTGGTCCATACTTTTGGAGCGTATGTCCTTTTTCTCTGGTGTGACAACCCAGTGGTTTGGCTAATATATCCTCTGCTATTAGAATCTGGTTGCTTGGGCCCTGGTTTGAATTCAGCTCTCCTGTAGTACCATCATAAATCACTACTAGCTCCAAACTCAGAACTTGCCAAACGGGTTTTCAGTTATTCTGATTTTCTGTATTTATTGCGCCAAAACTTCTATTACTAGATGGTGTAACCAAGGTTACAAATTAATCTAGATCCAACCGGTAGATTGCCATCAACTATATATAGGCCTATTTTTCAAAATTGTTACCAGTGAGATTTGAACTCTAGACCTGCTGCTTGGAGAGGGTGATGACTAGACCACTACACTAAGTCGTCACGTCACGCCTTTATAAAATATATTTCTTGGAGACAAAGACCTTTATATACTTTTAAAATATTTCAAAAACCTTTGTATAAAAGAATTTTGTAAACCAATTCTAGCTTATTGAAGATTTTTAGACTGTTAACGTTTCTTTAAATACTACATTGTATTATTATTGTAGCTAAGTAATAATATTTAATGCAATATTACTACAGTACTGAATTAGTAGTATTTGGGTCAGAACAGGCCGGAGCTTGGCCGGCATTAAATACTGGCTAGCACTATACTATATCAAAATTAGTAGTTGAGCAATTTTTACTTAATATATAGGCTGCCAGTTTATTAGTAAAAATTTGGGAGAATTTGGAAAAAAATTTGCCTGAATTAGGACTAATCTGGTTGCACTACTAATCTATTCGAATCGGTATTATCCACAGTGAAAAGTCATGCCCTAGTTATAACTCAATTTGTGGCTTCAATAACCAAGGCTTAATCTGGAGCTATGACTTTAAAAAGCCGCAGTTGATGCTGCATAGCTGTCGCAACAAAATTGTCACGGCAGATCCTCGATTTTGATTGGCTAACAGTCAAAATTTTGGCCCATATTACATAATTGTTACTAATTTCCGGCCTGAATTAACTTTTTTATTTTTTTATTACAAAAATAGAAAATTTTTAAAAATAAGCCCGCATTATGATAAAATTGGCCCAGAAACAATTTCACTTAATAGGCAGCTGCGATTTTATTAGTAAAATTATGAGTAACCCCGCCCAATTTTTTGATTACACTTTTAGCCAATCAAAATCAAGAATCTGCCATACCATTTGTTGCAGCAGCTATGGCTCATCAGCTTTGGTCCATTATGTTAACAGCTCTGAAGATAGCTAACAACAAAATCTATTTTTGGTTAGTGCAATTCTGATCCTATAAAAGTTTTCAAAAACTTTCACCTCTATTATCTTTCTGGAAAATGCTCATTTTTTGGAAGAAAACATACAAATTTCTGGCAATTTTTATAGAATCCAGGTAAGTTTCGAGTAGGAATCAAATCCGAGTAAGATTCGACTTCTAATATTTTGTACTTTATTATAATTAGAAGTCTAATCTTATTAGGATTTGATTTTTACTCAGAATTTATCAGAATTCTATGGAAATGACCAAGAATTTATATATGGTTTGTTCTAAAAAATGAGCATTTTCCAGAACAATAATGGAACAATAGTCTGGGATACATTTTTTCGAAACCTTTTTATAGAGCGAAGAACAATAATGAAAAAACCATATTTTTATCAATGCACTTTAATCGAGACAAAAACTTGTTAAAGAGATAGAAAATACAAGTTGAACATAGACAAATCTCATAAAAACTTGTTAAAGAGATAGGAAATACAAGTTGAACATAGACAAATCTCATACTATAGCTATATCATGAAGTTTAAGTGCAGAATTTCTCTTTTCATTAATTGTTCAATCAATTGAGATTTTGCGGATGTCGTATGTACATTACTATACACTTCATGATATATACTTCATTCCTAGTATAGCCAAAATTGTCAATCAATCCGAGTTTTACATATACTAACAAACTCAGAGAGTATGCAATTAAATATTTATTTTTAAAATTGGCTTTGTTATTTATTTATTTAAACTAATTGTACTTTGTCAAAAAAATACAGAGGAATAGTTTTCATGAGTACGCTGCCTAGATACTTAAAATAAAAATAATTTATTGTTTTTGGGTTAATAAATTTATTAAAAAATTTTAATCTTTCTACTGTATAAAAAAAAAAGCAATTGTATCCTGATATTTCAGCCACCGGTTCTTAACCGCATGATAATCCCCGCCTTGCCCGTTAATCCATATCAGGATATAATTCAAAATTTTTATTATTTACTTCTTAAAACAAGTATTTGTGTTCAATCAAATTTTTATCTCAAACTAGTATTAAAGCCCGTCGTTAAGGACAAAGTAAGATAAAAAGAAACCCGTCATCTGGATTTCAAGTTTATTACTTGTCGGGCTGTTTGCATATATGAATTTATAAATTTAAAACCCAGGTAGGTTTTTTCTTTGCACTAATATGCAAGGGTCGTCCCATGTTCGTCTTTTTTTAAAATTAAGTTATAAGTTAAAAATTGGAATATTTATGGAGCGTTCCAGAACGGGACGAAAAAAAGCCAAAAAAGTTTGATAGTCACTGACTTCGGGCACAGCACTTAATTAATGATAAACTTTGTAACCTTTAATCTATATCAATGTACATAACTGATTTTGGTGGTTACGCACATCTATATTACTGCATTAAAGTTTTTTTTTTCGAATTAATGTGATTCCATCAAAGCACGGTAAAAGTACTTGTGTAGTTCGTTGGTCATTAGTGACGTATTCGTTAAATGAATGTATGTGTTTAGCTGCGGGAGGAATTTGACTGAGGTCTTTTGTTTTAGTCATTTGTGATACATGTCCTTTGAACAACACTGTTAAAAAAAAGATTTTATAATTAGGAAGTGTTGATTTTTGCATGTTGTAAATGGTTTTTGAATTCTTAATTAAATTTAGAACTTGGTAGTAAAATTATTTATGTAAACCTATCTCTGAATAGTTTTTCGCAAAAAAAGATCCGAACGAATTCAGTATTTTTATGGGTATGAAAGTAACAAAATTGTACGTTTAATCTTTTACACGCGCCTGTAGTCAATAATCCGGATCCGGAGTTGATAATGGCAACTGGTATATGTGAGTGATCAGTGGTGCCGCAGTAATTGGTTTCTAATTACACATACAGGCACTCAAAATATCAGATCCGCCCGGATCTTTGACCTTGACCATAATAGCACTATTATCCGACAAACTTATATGATCATGAATGTATTTACCTTTGTTATTTTATTTCATACCGATAACTCACTGTGAATCATGATCATAAATTGTCGGATAAGACCATTATTAGGCAAATTGGCGAATAATGTATGCACATGAATATATAAATTTAATTTCAAAATTCAGTTCCTATTTAACAGCACACACGAAATGAAAAATTAATCAAACCATTATCAGCGACGATAATTCCATCATCAGAAAGAAGATTTCGTTCAAGAACAGTATTATAATAGTTGATATAATTGCCCTTATCAGCATCTAATTTCCGACAAGAGAATTAGATAAATTGTTAATATTAACAAATATATATTTTATCTTATTTATTTAAAAAAATTCTATCATACCAATAAATATCAGGTCGTATTGTACCGAATTATCCAAATTTGAAAGTCTAAAGTTTTTTTTTTAAAGAACATTCGTTTACACTATTTATAATTAAGAAGATAATCAAAATAAATTATTGCTCACATATCAATTGCATTGCCAAGTTTCAACTCAATCAAGTGTCCAAGTCCTGAAGATTCTATGTTCTCTTTTGCCGCTTTAAAATGATCTATGTCCTTTTCCAACGTGACTATTTTTGCTTCTAATCCTCGCTCTTTTAGACCTTCGGCCATGCACAACGCCGAATAACCAGTGAAAGTTCCAATCTCCAGCACTCTTGTAGCTTTACTAATTTGTACGAGAAACTTCAAAAAAGTTCCTTGTACTGAAGATACCATTTGATAAGACTTTGAAGATAAAGATACGGTTTTCTCATGGACAGATTCTAAATAAGGAGATTGTTTAATGGTGTGAGCCAACGAATACTGTTCATCCGGACTGCTAAGGAAACGGTGAGAACGATAAAAAACCAGCTTCGGTATTGAATTGTGAACAGGAAAAAACCTGTTTTTAATAATAACTCTTAAAGTATTTGATCTATAAAACATAATTGATCAAGTACAGAAACTTGAAATGGTCAATTTTTTTTTTTAATTTACTCGGGTTAGAAAGTGTAACAACTTTTACGAATTAGATTAGTGTAACGAACCTTAAATAAAGTTGGCAATGATCAAAAAAAGAAACATTTTGGGAACGATCGACAAATCAGGTTCTCGACTCGGGTGACCTCAGTTGCAAGATATGGGAGAGAATAAATTGGCATCCTCTGTAGAATATAATCTACCCCAAAAATTCGTAATTGCCACCAATTAAAAAAATATATAAAAACTTTTTATTCGTATTTATAATTTTTTTTTTTTTATTAGGATATATTTTAAAAATATATTATGCTAAATTATTTACTAATAGAAAAAACATTTTCTACCTTTATAAAGTACAAATGATTTTGAGAAATATAACCTAATTAGATAATTTTTTCATTCATTTTATTTAACAAGTCAATTGCTTGCTTATTATCATTTAATGCCGCAGATCTCAAATATTTCAACCCAAATTGTTTATCCATTTTAACACCACATTCACCATTTAAATAAATTTTACCCAAATAATAACTAGCTAAAGCATGGCCATTCTTAGCAGCCATATTTAAATAATGCAAAAATTCACTATTGTTACAGAGTAAAGCCTTCTTAATTTACTCTATAACGACGACACGGCATAGGGAATCCTTTCGTAGGTATATACAGTGTCCAAGAGGTAAGTATAGCTTCTTTTCTCTTTAAGAAACTATACCCTTCTCTAAGGCAGTTCGTGGAGAAATACAATAACAATAATAACTTATTAACACAAGAGAGAGATAAACCTTGCCT